ATACTGCTATCTCAAAGCATCCAGGAAATCCCAAATTCCCTGACTCACACGTGCTATTACACAATGCAATATAAATGCCCTCGGTCAGAGGGACTGACACACCAATCCATGACTCCACGTCATCCGGCCAGAGACTCCTTCTCACACAAGCCTTTATCTTCACAGGCTGAGACACCAAAGAGCGTCACCCAAATCGGAAAAGCCACACAGAAAAGGAGATTTCCAGGGGCTGATTTGAGGTTCTTGTATCACCCCTGGATGAGCCTCTCCCCATCCTCAAGAGTACCCTTCCCAGGTCACTTCAGCCTTTTAAAATATTTGTTCCTCAGTGCCCAGCTAAACATTGCTCTTATGACTCCCAGTTACATACACAAACGTTCTCGCACATACTGTAAATGCTCCAAATCCCTCTATATAATTGGCTGATCTCTGGAACACATAAATTTATTTAAATTCCTTTACATGTGAGGATTGAAAAAAGTGCCTGAAGACAAGAAGGAGCTTTCCTTTGACACAATGTCAGAACAGAAGCACAGTGTCCAAAGCTGCACTAACATACAGGATTTTGGAGAAGTCAAACCTAACGACACAAGTCTTGCAAGTGAAAACCTACGATGGCAGGATTGATTTAATTAAAAAAAAAAAAAAAGTGTAAACAAGGATGTAGGCCAATTAGGTGTTCATATCTATACCAAAGCATAAGGAAAAGGATAAAAGCAAATTTATTTTTTTTTTCAATAATACACAAGAAATACGGCCAAGGCACATAAGTATGAAAAGATGAGAAAAGGAGTATGTATTTATATGGATAAGAGAAAATGTACACTTCTATTACTTAGGACAAGAGTCTTTACAATTCAGGATATAAAAACTATGAAGTTAAAATATCTTTTTTTTTTTTTTTTGCAATTATATATACTGCTTTGGAGGAGCAGTCCCTTTTTTTAATGGGAATATTTAAAGTTTTCCATTGTATCCTAACTAAAAAGTTGCCATTTCCACCAAAAACATTTCAGTGGAGAATAAAGATTAATCCCTACTACTTCTTCGCAGTCTCCCTATTTACCGTTTTCCAATGTTAGCACAAACGAGCCTGATGAGAGCATCATCTCCTGATCTGAACAATCTGGTATTGGCCTCCATTGGAACAAGGTTACTAAATTAGAGGAGCAATTCCTATGTTTTCACATCTGTTCCCCTTAAAATTTATGTATAATTCAGTATAGACTATAAAATACCTTATTAAGTCTCCTTCCAATGTGTAAACATTATTTGTTGTCAACTGAAAAATGTTCTGCGATTGCCATTGGGTTTATATTGGCTCCCTCTACTGGCTAAAGTGCACAAAGTGTAATTTAGTTGAGATTTTTTTTTTTTTCCTCTTTTCCATTAATTGTGGTAAGTAAAGAACTGCACCAAAGACCACGGCATAGTACAAAAATAATTTCTTTTACAATCCACCCAGGAAAGTCTGCCAGTTCAAACCTACAGCAGCATCAATATTGCCAAGCCGAGGGATTAAAAAAAGAAAAAAGCCATAACATCATAGAAGGAAAAAAAAAAATCTGTACGCCCTTTAGAAGGAAGACAGGCATGCTGGAGGAAAAGAACACAAAAGAAATACCATTTGGTCGTACTATTTAAGAAGAACAGTTCATTTTACATCCAGAATTTTGAAGCAGATTTGGAAGCTATTTTGGCACTGGTTTTAACTATTTCTGTTAGTTAGATTCATAGATTCATAGATTTCTATGTTGCAAAAGACCTTAGAGATCATCGAGTCCAACCATCCCTAATCCCCATTAAACCATATCCCTAAGTAGATCATCCACCCTATTCTTAAACACATCCAGGGATGGGGACTCAACCACCTCCCTGGGCAGCCTAGTTAGTTTCTATCTCTTCCATATATTACATTCAGGTAATAATTACCTAAAATATGTTTAAATATACTGAAAACATGTCTGAATAGATTTTCAGATGTTCTTTGATAGCAGTCCAAGGACATTTTTGAAAAGTTTATGGGAAATTTTAGCATGAATTATTCTAGCAATGAATTAGTTTGGAAGACGGGAATTTCTTTAGTGCTTTAATATCTGCAGTTACACAAAGCTGCTGAAAAGCATCAGTTACCTGCCCGTCTCCAAATCATATATTACTTTTCTCTTTCAAAAACAATCAACCATGATGAAAAATGGTATAGTTGAAGAAGCAAATAGCTCAAAAGTATCTCAGAGTAAAACAGTATAAAATTGCCATGCTATGATTTGTTTTTCCTGCTCTTAAATCCAATGTATTGATTTTTACTTTGATATGAAGAAGAATTATACCAAAGGTTTCAGTCACAGGCAGAAGTTTTAACCTAGCCTTCACTAGAGAATTTGGTATTTGTAGAGGAAAGACTCTTTTCCACATCTTCTACATCTTTCTTATCTTGCCTAAAATTTCAGCTGAGGGTGAGCTGACTTTCATTTCCTCCTTCCGAACTGAGATTAGATGTGAAGTTCCTTAAAATTCAAGTTCTTATGAAATCCCTCTATGTTTGGGGTTTTGTTCTCACCCCTCCAGTTCTGTGGTCACTTTCACTGAGACGACAAATGATAAATGTATGCATCAAAAGAAGAAAGTAAAGCAGTAAACTGACTACAGCATATAATATTATTACATTGGCCACAAGATGAAACGCGCCCAGGGCTTGCAGCTGAGAGCTAACAGTTCCCCCCTTAGTTCCAAAGATTCTTATCCTCAGTACTGTGCAAATTTCCTCTCACCCGAGATCGCAGCCTGGTTATGAATGAGAAGTCTGAGATGAAGGTAACAGGCCCTGACTTTCACACATTTCTGCTCAGTGGGTTACAACTTAAACATGGGTATAAATAAATGAATATAAAAACATAAAAATATTTCTCTCATGTAGTATTACCTTCATTTAGACTTTGTTCCCCTCAGACAGTTCCTTTTGGAATTATTTAAATTTGGGTTATTTTGAACAGGCAACCAGAATATAAATCACAGAAAGAGCTCCCAGTGAAATTTCAGAATTACACATTCAATTTTTTCCACAAGGCTCTTGCGATGATGACTGGAAGAAGTTTTACATATTGCAAGACTCTATCAGTATTTAATCTGCAACTGAAGCAAAAAAAGGATGCTTTAGATCATGCTCAGGTTTAAAATTTATGCATGTTGCCCAATAAAGAAGACTTTAGGCATTGTACACCATACCACTATTCATTCTTCACCAACATAGAAAGTCAACTGGACTTCCACTCTTTAGAGAGACAGATACATTTTCCAGCACATAGCTAACTCCAAATTCATCAGCTATTAACATTCTCCAATAACATCGCAATCATTTTCTTGGGGAAAAAGAAAGAAGATAAAAAGAAACAAGCAATCTACAATGCAATGAATCAGATTGTTACACATCTTGTATTTCTAGGTAGAAGATGTCAGTGAGCGTCTCTGTAACTTTCCTCCCAGTTATAAAAATCCTACTATTACTATTATTAAATTTGTAAAGAAGAAAGAGATAGTCTGTCATTAGGACAAAAATTTCTTAAGGGGCATATTCATCAACAATAATGTCAATAATTAGATCAATCACACCTAAGTTTGCAGAAATTCCATCCTGTGAGAGTGTTGATGTCATAGTTTTGTGGCAGATAAAATCTTTCCATCTGAATGCCTGAACTCCTGCTCAAGTAAAAAACTTTGTCATGAACGTAAAACATTAAGAAATGGCACTTTCTTCACGTAGTATTGCACATTTTTCTCTTGCATGTACCCTGATTGCATTCATGAAGAGGCCTATGGGAAAAGAACAGCAAACAAACAAGATTGGATAAATCTGCAAGATTTCCATTTCCTCGTTACCAAAGAAGTGGTTCCAAGCTGTACTCAACACTACAGAGCTCACACGACATCGGCAGAGGCAGGTATGTTTTTGAAGTGGAAGAAATAGTGACAGCATGGGGTGGGAAACACCAGTGCAGGCAGCACGAACCCTTTCCACCAGTGAGAAAAGCAGTGCTCTATGATTACCCTAGCTTTCCTTCAGGCATCCAAACCCATCAAGCGTCCCTGCCAACCTCCTGTCACCCATTGGCAACCACATTAAGAATGGTCTGCATCTCAGTATTATTAGAATAAGATAGTTTTAGTTATAGGAATGTGAATTTGGCAGTATTGCTACAAGCATACACAAATTATACAAATCAATTACTATTTGGAAAACAAACTGGCTTATATTTACTGCTGATCAGTGTTACAGTAGCATACTTAATGACACCCAAGCATTTGCAGAACACGCAAAGTGTGCCAAGAAAACATGTAAACTCAAGAGTCTTGGACATCTACCTAGAGCTCTTTAGCTCAGCCTCTGGACTCTGATGATTTTACTGTGTATGTATCACATACCTATAACTATCAGCTGCAAGAGATGGATCCTTCAGTGCAGCTTTAGGATGGGATGAAGAATGCAACAATTCACTTAAAAAGATATTCATTTACAGAAGGTTGGAGCTATCAAAAGAAAAAAGATGACAATAAAAACTGCACTGATGCAACAACTTACATTCATGAGTCTTTCAATGGATTTAGATGCAACAACTTACATTCATGAGTCTTTCAAGTATTAATATGACAAAGTTTTTGGTAAAGTGGCTTCACCAGAAGACACTTGTGATAGAACTAGAATTGTGCAGATCATTAGCTGAACAAGTTGCTTCCTTTCAGATAAAGTTTTATTTTGCCAGCTTTCAAGAATATTGTCTTACCATTTTTTCCACATTTTTCTGGGGAAGTTTATAGCTGTTTTCAAATTCAACATTTTCAATTTATATTTTTCCCAAATTAAAAGTATTGCTACATGACCAACCACTTGGTCTTTATGAATATACAGCATAACACACGTGTTGCAGTACCATGTTTACGTGCACGCACTTTGCTTGCAGCAAATACAAGGTCATGCAACTTACCCCAAATCTCTCTCACTTCAACTAGAGCATTCCTACCTCATGACAGGAGAAGAGCCGAACTCCTTCCATCTGATGGAAGACTGGGTAGTGGGTGTTATCAATTGTATCACGGCGGTAGACATCTCCCACTGCCAGAAAGGCATCTAGGCCGGAGTGTATCAAGTCCCACTGATGAGCTGATGTATGTGCTCTTAGCATGTGATCACGATTCAAGTAATAGTTATCCTCTTTCCTTCTGCTGGCATGGTTTTGTGGAATAAGCAAACTATCGAAATTCTGCTGTACTGTAACCACTGGAGAAAGACCGTCATAGACAGAAAAGAGTGGAGTCCCACGGCGTCCCACATATTGTTTGTAAAAGTGGTCCTTCACCTGCTCCTTGATTAGCCACAAAGGGTGATGCTTTTTGTTGTGCAAGTTCTTGCCCACCTTGGAAAGAATCTTCTCTGTGACATTGCTGTAGTCATCTCGAGGATAAGCTTTACCAAGCAGTTCCACAGTACTTGAGCAAGGTGTGCTGGCAGCAAAATCTGAAGGTACAGACTTGGATGAGGAATGCCTTGAATGGGTGCGAATTCCTCTTACCTTTACTTTTGGCGATAAAGCTGTTTTAGAATACTTAGCTACTCTCATGAATTTCCAGAGCATTGCCATTGCAAACTCTTTTATGATCTAGAGAAAGAAAAAAAAAAAAAAAATTGAGTTAGGAACTGCAGTCTTGCAGCAGGGATTGCTGTGTCTCAGGAATAAGTGAAATCCAAATGTCTGCTTGATTAATATGACCAAGTTCCCACTATAAAACACAATTTTGACTTCACAGGAGGGAAAATACCCTTGTGATAAAATTTCAGCTAGGATATCTTATTCAATTATCAGTCTTCTGCATCACTGCATCAGAATTAATGACTCCAGACCTAGCCTTAACCCCATTCCAGCTACTGCTGCTCTTTACAGCTGAATAAATATCAGGCCTTCTTTGAAACAGTATTTTTAATCTGGCTAAAATATGAGGCAATAACTGAATACTACTTATGAGAAACTCAGAAATCTAACAACGCCCTTTGGCAGTCAGGGACTTGCTTATAACAAAACCCCAAGCATCAACTTATTGTTGTATCATCTCCTTCTGTTAGCAGAAGCTACGGAAGGTGTTCCACATCGACCGGATGCATGTGGCACTCACTGTGCAACATTCGCTAATTCGTACTTCATGCCAAACAAAACCAGTTTAACCTTTCAAACCACTGAACCATTGTTAAAAAAAACAGATGGTCAGACCACAAGGCATATACTGATCTACAAACAGCCTATTAAGTCCACACATGACTATTGCATAAGATTCACAAGGCTCCACCCAGTCAGAACCAACATTAGCATTTTGGGATGAGGACAAAACCCCTTTCCGTACATTCCCAGAATGGCTCTTTTCCCGGCTTACACCACTGTACCAGGCAGGGAGGCTTGTCAGGTACCTGGAAAGTGAATGAAGTGATGAGATTCTGAAAGATGTCTGAACTGAACAATTTGTTTCCTGTCAAAGGGCTGTCTTTACACATCTGCCCTGTTTTCAAACAGGTTTTGTGCTTCACGTGTACACAGCTGCATTACTCGCTCTGTTCAAAGACATAATTTCAAAAAGAAAGTTTGGAGGATCACGAGCACTTCAGTCACTCCAAATGCATAAGCTCATTCCAAGATGTAAAATCACTTGAAAATCTATAGTTGGGCTTCACAAGTATTAGCATAGGTTTCAGTAAAATAATTAAGCATTACAATTTGCTTATTACGGAACAGGAAAACAGAGGCATTAGAAGTTAAGTGATTGGACAAAGGCATCTGCTCCAAACAATAAACTGCTTTGTATTTCTCTATGAACCAAGAAATCGAGGAACACAGGTTTCCTGGGCGAAAGAATTTCCCATGAAAGTCTTCTTAAAGAATTGGGGGAAGACAGGAACTAAGCAATGACTAGACCACAGTCTTCAAGGGAGAGCTTTCCATCTTTATGCTAGTATTACAGTATCTGGCTAGCTTTCCACAGGAACATAGCAGAAACAAGTGTAAAAAAAGAACAAACAAGGTAAGATTATTTTTCATACTCCTAAGCTTCAAAAAAATATATGCAAATAGAATAGAATCATAGAATTGTCTTGTTGGAAGAGACCCTCAAGATCATCAAGTCCAACCCTTCACCCTGCACTGTCAGGGTCCCTAAACCATGTTGCTCAACACCAAATCCACACGGTTTTTAAACACCTGCAGGGATGGGGACTCCACCACCTCCCCGGGGCAGCCTGTTCCAGAATAGATACATTCTACAATACAGAGTCTCCAAAAGCAGACTTGTAAAAGATAATGGTTATCTTCATATTTGGCTTCCTTCTTCTGGCTTACGCCTGAATGTTCTCTCTAGGTCTATTTCCTGAAGTAATTGTATCTCAATAAATAAAAATAAAGGCAAGTTGGGTAGGCAGAAATTAAAATTGGCTGAGGAGCGTAAGATTACTACGTATTTGTTCTAATCCTTTTTCTGGTCAAGTATCTTAAGGAAAAAGAGGAGCTACAACTTTCATCTAGTTTTGAAACTTTTAAGAAGGACTACTTTTTTTTTTTCTTTTTTTTGTTGTTTGTTTTTTTTAGAGTTTGTAAAATTGTTTCACCAAATTAGTTCTTGGCCATTACTGATAAGGTTCTTCCATATATGAACTCACATACACACACCAGAAACCCCTCTGACAAAGACTAAACAAGGGACAGCCTTACGTTTTGAAAAGAGGCTCTTTTCCCCAGACATACGTTCTCCTTCATGGAAAGCAAGTTCTCATTTTCAAACAGCTGCTTGAAATACCCAGTTCTAGTCAGATAATGAATTCAGCTTCCCTTAAGTAAATATCACCATCTGCCCATACATTTATTTTTCTAAAAAATTTGACTCAAAACTTAACTGCAATGCACAAAAAACTGTCGTGACTTTATCGTGAGTCTCGTGATGTTTGCTGCTTTCCTAAATATCATTCCCCTGAGCATCAGACAACCATATGAGAAGCTTAACTTTAACATAAACAGTTCTTCTCATGATTATAACTCTATGGATGAAGAAATTAGAACATAAACCCTAAGCGTTGGGCGGGAAAAAAAGGGACTGAGTTTAAGACTCATGATTTTTAAGGGAGACTCTAATGTATACGTCTCTAAGGGCTTATCTGATGATTTTTCAGTATTTGTAATAGGCAAGAGTGCTATCAGTTTCCAATAACTCAGAAATGCTAATTTTTCTGAGCAAGTGATCTATACTCTTCACAAACTACAGGTGAAAAAAAGCTACAGGTGAACTTGTATCAGAGTTTTCATCCTAACATCACGCTTGTGCCTTAAATAGTTAAATTGCATTTCTACCTGCACTATTACTCTGATCTAAACCAAAATCTACTGTAAGACGTAAGAAAAAAAAAGTTTCAGTTGTCCAGTGTTATCCAATGAGTTATCCAATGTCCAAGTACTGCAAACAACAGCAAACAAGCAGTAAAGGAGCCACACACAAGCGCCAGAAACATTGAAGTACGTCACCAACACACTTCTGCTCCCCTCTCCCACCACGCACTCATGTAGGCTGCTTCCAGAATCATTACAGAAAAATGGTATTGGACTTAGTTCAACTCAACTGGTGATAAATTGCATTTGGGGAAACAAGCCACAGAGAAGCAAGGAAAAAGACATGTTTACACTGTTTATACTGTACAAAAAAACCTTCAAATCAAATAAATGTTTACCAGGGTGGAGAGCAACATTGGAAAATAAGGAAATGTCTTTACCTTTCTGCAATAAATAACTGATGTTAAGGACACACTAATTACTTATGTTTACTTATAATAAATAGACAGTTATTTCTAGTAGGCATCTACCTAAAGGTTTGAAAAAGCACGGTTTAAATTTCTCGTTTTCCTCCTTCATTTCCACCATGCTTATTATTTGGCAGTGAAATGAAACTGGTTTCTGCACACGCTGACAAAACCTGAATCCCACAGCAAAGATTGCCAGGCAGCTAACAACCACAGGCAGCCAAACGGCAGCTGTAGGTCCTGTAGCTGGAAACAAATACATAAATGGGAAACAAACGCTGAACAACCACCACTGGCATCTACCATCCAAAGACGGCAAAGCGCTCCACCAGCACTACCAGTGGATCACACACTCTGGGCTTGACAGTGGCTCTGACGTGCAGCAGCACCGTAGACATTATACATGCAGAAGTACACCACGGTCAGGAGCCTAACAACAGGGAATCGGCAGACAGAACGCCAAAAAATATTGTGATTTTGGAGCACACGCAGAAGGCAGTTTGATGTGATAAGGGATCACATTGCTGTACTGTTAAGGCACGTCCTTTCATGTCTAAATCCGGCTTTCCATGTCACAGTGCAGCAAGGATTAAGACAGCATTATCATAGCTGCAGTGGTATTTGTTACAAGTCCCCTCTGCTCCACTGAGGGTTAGGAAAGAAGCGTTGACTCAGTGAAATTCCTCCTTACACTTGCCTTAAAAAAAGGAAGAGAAAAGAGGGGTAGTTTAGTAGCTCCCGATGAAAAGAAAAAGGCTTGTGCACCAGTTTTATTCACCCACCTCTCTGAGAAAAGTGGAAGAGAGAGAAGACTCTTGTGGAAGCAAACCAGAGCCCACCAGTGAACCAAACGGGCCTGCTTTCAGGGCCATCTCCTTGGTATTCCTGTCTGGGAAGCAAGGGCATCCTCCCTCTCACGGACCACTTTTCCGTATGCCCCGTGCTTTTGACTGTTTATGGCTGCAGAAACACAGATGGGCTACTGCACACATAAACCGAAGTACATGACGAGTTTGAAACCAAAATTCTACAAAGATGAGAGTCTGTCTCCCATCCAAGAATAGCTAATTAATGCAAGACTCTGAAGTGCCATGGAAAACGTTAGAAAAGTTGGGCTGCCACCATTTTGTGATGTGACAGCTTTTATCTACCGTATGTGTGGGGAGGGGAGTTCAACCAACATAGCATATGTTAAAACAAAAATTATAAACATATGCTAGGCTGCTAAAATTGGACATCTACCAGTCTGCTTAGCAATTTAGCTAAGCATTGAATTTTAGTTTTGAAAACTATGTAGGCATACAGCAGCAAATATCATTGTATTGCCATGACCATATCCACATTGCATAGGATATAACAGAAATTAGTTGGCACGCAACACTAATAACGAGCTCAGATTTTTTTCAAGCTCATTTCAAATTGTGGATATATTGTTGCACATCAGAACACGCTTTCACTCTTACTGAGCATGTTGAATTTATGGTATACGCACAGATCTCTGAAATAGCCTTACAGACAACTTAGAATGGATTCATTTTAGAACCTGACCTTCTGAGGGCAGAACATTTTCAGGTGTCCCTGATGATGGCTAAACACCCAATGGAACAAAATATTGCATGCACTACAAAGCACCAGCCAAGATAACACAGCCTTCAAGTATTTGGCTCATATTTTTTTCATGTACTTGAAGTTCATCTAGTTAATAATCCATCAGCAAGTTTCAAGAAACATCCAGAATAACTTATTTTTTGGTGATTTTTCTTAACTGAAGCAAAAACGTGTCATAAGCTGGCTTGCTGTCTGCTCTCTAATAGTGACACATTAATCAGGATGCCA